GAACTCTTGGGAGGCAATTTTACTCAAATATTGAGTGTGATATGATGAAACTGGGAGAACAGAAACAAATGTCTACGGGGACCTACAGTTGGATAACGGAAACCGGCAACCTAATCGATGCGAAGTGGAAAGAAAACCTATATAGGATGTCATAACTTGATAAAATACTCTGAAAGCTGAGCGGAGTTCAAACCTGAGGGTTTGGTTAGAAGAACCGGATAAACTAATGTGTGGGTAACGAACGATAGGACAGTTTCCCTTTTGTTTTGTGAGAAAAGTGATCAAATTGTGATCTTCGCGAAACGACTAACAGATGTGATTGAATAAAAATTATCCCGTCAATCGGTGAGTGATCATAACCGAAACAGAAAATTCTCTGGTTTTATTGAATTATTGGTGATGTTCAGCTTGCGACCTAACTTCTACGGAGCCATGTGGTGTGTGTGTGTGGGGGGGGGGGNGCCACACATACTAACCGGGGAAAACAGAGAGAAACCTGAGGACAGAAATTCCCGGTCACGGAGCTGCAAGTTTCAATTTGAGTAAAAAAACATAGTTGAACAGGAGGTGCCGTATCGATCCTGAGCATAGGTCTATTCGCTATGAAGAACAAAACTCATTATTTCGCACGAGGTAGGTTGAAATGCGGTGAGTTATATCCACTACCTGAAGGTACGGTAATCAACACTTCCAGACAAATGAGTACACATTCGTAAAGAATGAAAAAGGGATGTTCACGGACAGAACCATTCGTGACCAACACACACACATACACACACACACACACACACTGAACAGGATTGAGGTGCTAAGTAAGACACGTCACTTACCTTGCTGTTTACAAGCCGCCCGAGCTTCCTCGATCAGTTGCGAACGATGAATGGGCATCGCTGTACTGTGCGGTTGCTGCTGTTGTTGTTCATGTTGTTGCTTCTCGTATTCAGCTTCCGAGACGATCACATGATTAGGCACGTGCTCGACGAGAAATCTGTGACAATGGAAATTTGGGATGATAAAGTGGAGTAGATAGAAGTGGAGTTATGCAAGGTTCATTTTATCATCATAGTACTATACATACCACAAGCAACTGGTCAGAAGAACCGGCGATTCGTGATTTCTGGGTATGGGAGTGAGAACCGGCAAGTGTTTCATTCAGAGTGTGCTAGCGGTTAAAGTATAAGACTATTCAATGAAGTGATTAATAAGTGTGTGCGATGTGCCCGGTGAAAACAGAAAGCTGGCCGAAAGATATAGCAAATCTACGAAAATAGTTTACCTAATATGAATACTGTTTCCGTGGAGTTATTCACAAGAATCATTGATCATTGGTTTTTTCAC